GGGGGGGGGGGGGGGGGGGGGGGGGGGGGGGGGGGTGGGAAGCAATGCGACCACGGGAGGCATGGGGCTGCGTGCGTGAGCATCATAGCCTTGTGTTCACTCACCGTGCCTTTGTTTTGCAGGCATCTCTTTCGTTCCTCGTGGCTTCACGTGGTGGCCTGATTGACTGTCGTGCAGTAACCCTTGCAACTATAGCGATGAGAAGGAGACGGGTATCTTGGATTGTGAGCAGGCTACAGTGGTATTGGTTGGAGATATCAACTGCACTGTTACGTACAAATTTAGATGCTGAAATAGAGCAGTAGAACCACTAGGAAATAAGTTTGAATAGTCTTGTGTAAGTATTCGTCACCTCTGTCGAGCATGATAGTTCTTCCATAGTTTGCTTAGTCATATATTTGCCTCAGCTACAATTCGTAATATTCTTAAGCATCTCAAAAGTGCGCTACTGCTAACGACAAACGACCGCCTGGGTTGTCGACTTCACTTTTCTGCGGTTTATTGCATTTCACGAAAGCTCGCAATGAGACTGGCCGTTGAACATTGTCTCTCTCTCTCTCTACACTAAATGGTTACCTTCAGAACTAGTTGGGTTGAATGATTTTGTGCGGCTCAATGTCACATCATGTTATCTACGTTGCCAAAGAAATCCCACTAGGACGTGGGCTCGCATACCTGCCCAGAGAAGAGGATGTTGATAAGGAATTGGGAAATTTGAGCACCTTCGAAGATATCACTGAAGTTTATTTTAAGGCGTTGGTGGTAGATGCCCGGTGGCATATGGCATAGGCAAATGCTCCCCTTCTGGTAGAAGCGCCGTTTCTTTAGGGAACACTGAGAGCCGGGTGCGTCCGCTGGCCAGTAGGCGCATACATCCTCCACAATCCTGTGGAGAATGAAACAAGGCTTGTTCAGTGTAATCTGCTTACTGATAGAAACGATGCTGTCTTCTTAAAGGCATAAACAATTCGAAATCTTGACCATGTAATATTCTCCAGGGAAAATCAAGTGACAAGCTAGTTTGCTGAAAAGCGTGTCGATCGAGGGGAGGCTCACTCTTCACGATATTTGATTGCTACTTTTTTGCAATGCCAGTTTGCCTTATAGATAATGCGGATGCTGGCTTTCTGGTCGATCCTGTTTGGTAAGGCATTATATGCACGCATTAGCGTCACCATTGCTGTGGCATTGGCGCAATCGATGGATGAAAGCCGCTTGAGTTTGAACGATGAGAAAGTCGTACTAAGACGTGTTTCAGTAGGCACTGCACTTCAATTTCTTGGGTGTCAAGCGAAACTGTCACCTATTCGAAGGCGTAGGCTTGGACCACCCACACGGTGAGAAGAGGAGGTGGTGGATGAAGCAAGACCAGCCGACTTTGCCCAACAGTCGTCAACGTCTCCTTGGGAGGTCCAAACAGTAGTGTATACAAGGTAATGGACGCGTATGCGGAGGTGGGTGACATTAGTACAGACAAGTGGGGTGTTGACAGGTAAATCATATCGCTGCGGTAGGTGATGGTGCTGGTGGTTGACTAGTACACATTTACGCCGCACCTACTTAGTTGGACTGGCTTCACTGCGTGTTGCCGCTCATCCGCAAGTGACTTATTATGCTAGGTCGGTATCCCGTTCAACGTTTTTTAATTAAGGAAGCAAAAGCATAGCAGCGTAGTAATGGCATTACTCTGGTTGAAAGAGCCTATTGCCTAATCACAACGACTGAGGTAAGTGCAACGAAACACAGGGTCTCATGAAAGTTAGCGTGGTAAGATAGCGTCTAAGATGAAAACTGCGAAACAATATTTACTACTGGCATGGAACAACAGTCAATGATGTCGCGACAGCTCTGACGTCTAACTTGATCAATTTCGGCGAATCTTACTGATTCTGCACTTCACAATCATCACCGCGAGTGAAGTTTAGATGCCAACATTGTCGAAAACGACTTTTCAGCAGTGCTTCTCCCACATGTTTCATGTCACCATTGGACAAAAACGCCTAATTAAAGCCTTAAATTGGGCTTTAAATAAGGTATTTGGAGCATTTGGACTCCAAGGAGAATGGAAAGAGTGGTGGCAAAGGAGAAATTGGTAAGTTGGGCGTATTTTTACTAGCCCGGTTTGACACACGGGTGTGTAGGTGGTTAGCGCCACCCCTTGTTTCTGTTTAGTACTGCGCAGAGTGGCTCGAGTGGGGAGTCTCGACCTACCGCATCGACAACGCAAAAAAGACGTCCAACACTGAAAAAATGTGTCTTGCTCTGCGTTATCCCATGCCTTTGTTATGTGGGTGTACTCCCTGCATCGCATCGCATGGCATCGCATCACCTGAAACTGCGCGCGGTCGGACCACCCAACCGGAAGGAGCGAGAGCTTGCGAACGCGCAAACAAACGAGGTTATTAGAAGGTCGACTGAAGGGGGCAGAACGGTGGGATGAGGCATGTGCATTGTGATGCTTCTCGCTCATTTCCTCTTATTATCTCAATGCTGCCGTGGCTGCCTCACTACGTTAAGAACACATCTGTAGTTATTATTATTAACTGACTTAGATTCTGTTTTTCTTACCTACCCTTCAGACAGCCCATTTGACCCTCTGCTTAGATCACTTCGTAGAAATGGCATTCATGATGCAATGTATATTGTTCAAGATGTCAAGAGTTTCCGCTTCACTGTGATTGGTAGACGGCGTCTTTTTGGGAGGAAGGAAGAGGTAAAAAGGTGCGAATGTGAAAAAAGTGTCACAAATCCTTATCATTGCATTAATTAAATTGTCTCATGGAAACTGTCTCAAAATTTGTCATTTCCTTTATTCAGTGACGAGAAGGAGTTGGTCGATTTTTGGAAGCCAGTAAAGATCGCTCGCTGCGCGGGCTATTCATTTGAGTGCGATGGTTATGGGTCACCCGTCAGAGCTTGTTGGTTTTCACAGACCTTGTCAGCATTTGCATCTATCAATGTTCTTTATCTGCTTCATCAGGCCAACAAGATTTAACAACCTCCTCCTCCTTCTCCTCATCCTCCTCCTCCCCCAACAGATTGGTTTTGAAGTAACTTACCCGTTATCGGTTTTCTACAGTAAAACATTCTCCTGTGTCACCCATGGCTAAACGTGATGTGTACATTCATATGCACCCACAAAGATTAACTTAATTTCTTACCCAGTGTAGATAGGTGGGTACTGTGGGTGGAGGCGTACTTCAGCCAAAAGTCTGTGCTTTCCCTCTAGCGTGCGATGCAATTGAATCAAGTAGCGAAGGCGTGCTCTTATCACACCACTTGATATAAGGATTGTTTTCGACCGAATCGCTAATCGGTGTACAGTCGCTAGTGCGCCTTCCTGAACAGTCTCCACGGTGGGGGTCGGATAGGAGGCAGTTGTAGTAAAGAGGGAGGCAGGAGATGTGATCGTGTCCACAAGAGTTGATGACTCTGCTTTCATTGCAGATGACATAGGCGCTACTGACTTTGCCTTTACCGTTGCTGCCAGCATTGTAGGCGTTGACACGAACGCCCTTTGTACAGCTACCGATGCGTTTCGTCGGCGTAATCTCTGTTTGGGTGCCTTCCCAAAGGAGGCGAGGAACTCGCGATGGGATAACCATTGGAGATGCTGGAGTCGGAGAATCCTTTGCGTTCGTCGTAGATATCGCTGAGACTCAGCAGCCCTCTGAATGGCCCGCTCATGAGCTAGAACTTCATCTGCGCTAAGAATGTCCTTTGGAGCTGGACCTGAAACTTTACATTAACAAGATATGATTTTTCGACTTAAACTTAAAAAGATCGATCATAACACTGCAAAGCTCACAAGTTGTAACTGCTATTATTTGTGTAAAATATCATGGTCTAATTAAATTGGACTTTAATTTATCTTAGAGTCCAAAGTAGCGTAATTGGTATTTGTTAGCATGGCATAGCTAAATAACGCTTTGGGCGTCAAGGCCTCATCGACCTCAACATATGCATTGTACACTCTAAAAAGTAATATGCGCTCCAAGGGCCAATTCAGTTTTCGTTTCATGGGCAAACATCGAATCTGGGGTTGCGTAAAATGTTATGGGGCAGCAAAGTGCAAGTGGAACTCTCCACATCTGTGCAAAGTTTGATTGGATACATTGAAGGTTGCATCAAGTTTGAGCAACACAACTTCTGGTACTTGTGGTTGAGTAGTAAGCGTTACGGAAGTTTACGAATGGCAAATTCGGCGTCAATTATATGACAGCATGGAAATTGGTTAATCTTGCAGAGCATAAAGTCAGATATTACTACAACTACACAGAGGAGACCATTCTTTAAGTCATGTCTGTGCAACTCACTGCAAAGATGGGTAAGACGGTTAACTATTCAATGTCGTTGAAACTCTAAGACCAACCGCGTCAACAAGGCAACCAAATTGTGAAAAATAGCTGCAGGTGTGTGCATGTGTGTGGCAACATTGCTAAGTTTTGCAACTAGATCTTGTGATTTAATGGAAAGAATTTGAGGCAATTGTGCAAACGTATGATGGGAACGACGTTGGAGCTGAAGCGGAGATTCGAAGCACTGTGCATTTCAGCACGCAGTCGCCTAGCTGAGGTGTCTGGACCACTCTCTCACGTGGCACCTTCAAAGCACACCAAAATTATTATTATTATTATTATCACCCTCACCATTGCCGTCTTCATTGCAGCATCTCCGGGCCGAAGCTTAAAACCACCAAGTGTGGTCAACCCACTCATGTGGATGCGGCCGTGACTGTTATAAAACAGGCTCTTGATTAATTGCCATGCCTTTGAAATGCGATGGTGCAGTGGAAGTGCGGACGAGGGCACAACAAATCACATTTCAAATACTCATGCAAAATGCCGTATTTATATAGAAGGCGTCACATCTACAGATTACACTCACAACCGGTTCAATGAGGGGTCTCAAAATAATGGCCCTCGGCACGACCACGAAAAGTGGGTCAATCTTAGGTCACCTTATTTCTTGTTTTTTGCAAACAACAAGTGCATTTGTGGCATGACACAGGACGTTTGATCAATTACTCATTCAAAGTCAATCAAATTGGCTGCATTCCACAGCCATTGAAATGGTGTACCTTTTAACTTTTTTCTACCGTTTTACGTTGCCAGATACTGTGAAATTGCTTGCATCTACAGTGATAACTTGTCTTTGCTTATGAAAAAAATGCTTGTCTACCCTCAAAATACATTTGCATAAAGGTCCAAGGAGATAAACGAGCGCAAACTAGGATGGGGTAGATACTTACAACAATTTTGCACATCAAGTTGGTTCCACTGAGATCTCCAGGGTGGCAAGGCGTAGGGAAGGGTGACTCTTTGCTGCCAGTAGGGCGATGTGAATACACTCATGTCAGGAAGAGGACTATTGGTAAGGGCTTGCGAGTGCTTATCCAACATGAGAGCATGGGACTGGCATCGTCCTGGAAGTATAAAGCACACAACACAACAGACAAGGAGAGCGTAAACCATCACAGAGACCTCTGGTAGGTGAGCTCGTCTTCTGCCACCGTCATGAATAATCAGGAAGGAGGACAAAGAAGAGGAGAATGAGAAGTCGGAGGAGGAGGAGGAAGAAGAAGAAGAAGAAGAGGAGGAGGAGGAGGAAGCAGAAGAGGAAGAGGGAGAAGAAGAGGAGAAGGAGGTGGAGGAGGAGGAGGAGGAGACTTTGAGAGGTAACAGAAGTAGTAGGTGGACGATGAACTGTTGGGGTGAGTGTGTTAGCTGTTGGGACATCATCGCATTTGTGCGTGCACGCGTGTGCGCGTGTGTGTGCGTGCGCGTATGGGCACACCATGGCACACGCACTTCCGCACTGTACTGTAGTCGGCATGACAGCGCATGTATTCGCACACCATGCTCGAGTGTGTGTGCATGTCAGTGGGTTACCACAAGCCAGCAGCAGCACCCACAGGGATACACTCATGCTGTCCGCACACCCACACACACACGTGGGTGGGCAAATGCGTCCGGGACTGAATATGCACACGGAGGCGATGATTTGATGCATTCTGTTACGCGATTGTGTGCGCACGTGTGGATTTGCGCCTTGGTTTAAGCCATCAACAAAGTTTGAGGAGATGTGGAAGAGCCACGTTCAGAGAAAGTCGGCGATACTTTTATGTTTTATACTTTTATTACAAGCAAATTTGTTAATCTCAGAGACTGTATTTGCTCTACTTGACTTAACGTCAGTTAACCAGGCCGTAAAGCATTGCACTAAAATCAAATTTAAATCCACGCTATCTGCGTGGATCACCATGGTTTCATTTTAACTGTCTGGTATGAGACTGATTATTACTAATCTTCTTCCTCAAGTCGACTGCAGCTCAAAAAACGGAAACCAAGTATACCTTACATCCACTCTACTAGTTCAAACTCACCTAGTCCACATGCAACACAATTTTGAAGGCTGATAGCAAGCACCATGCCACACCGACGAGGAGGTTGTCACATGTACATGACGATGGGGGCGAGCGTGCCCATGTCACCGCTCTGCAGCAATTCGCGGAATGTTCCGCGTATAGCACTGTGGTAGCCTTTTAATGCAGACAAGCTCAATTTATTACATTCTCCCCTTTCAAATTCGCATCAGTTCTTTAAGTTTGAAACAGGATAGATTTGCGCTAATTGCCCATTTGTAACCGATAGACTATTAGTAAAGGTATTTTGCAGTTGCCTCATGACCGCACTCGCCCACTGCTTATTAGTGCCAGGGTCTGCGGAGTGGTGAATTCATCGGAGTGAACTCAAGGTACCTTTACTGATACATCTGAGAATCTTGACCTTGTGTAGTTGTTTTATCCAACACAAAAGAATCAATGTCAGTTCCTTTTAACCACTTGCCTGTTATTAACCAAAGGTTGAAAGGATTGTCTCTGTACCTAAAGTATTCAGTATCCTACTTGATGATCGACTCCTGTCGTTGAGGGGATAAAAATGACAGTGAATTACATTTTATGAAGCAGATTTTAGCGGCGAACTGAAACACAATGCGCTCAGAGTCCATTTGAGACTGTCGGAGAGTTGTAGTGTGGCGATTATTTTAACAAAGCCGTTGTAATGACAGCGGAATGGGGCTGGCATCGTTACATCTTCTCGGTGAACAAGTCAAATGTGATTTCACAAACTAACCGTGCTGCACTCAATTCAATATTGAATTAGCATAACTGTTGCTTAAATTCTAAGCAGTGGTGATGATAGCGTTGTAGAAGTTTCTATTAAATATGGGCTAACCCATAGAAGTGAAAAAAGGAATGCAGAGTTATAAAACAGAATGACTGGAACTGTTCCAAAACTGTTAGAAAGCAAATAAAATTAAGCAATAAGCAGTTGATTCTTTTCGTCACTTCCCTAAAATAGGAAAGAAATTAATTCCTAGGTGAATTTGAAACTTAGAGAATTACTTACTCATTGAGGGTTAAAATGCACCTTTGAAGCCCCTTTGATGTTGGTGATGGCCATAAGTGGGGCAGGGCACCGACGACAGTGGGCTGCTCGCAATGGAGGCTAGGCCTAACCCCTCATACCTTGCGTATGAGCAAACACTGAGCTTAGATGATGCACCAAACTTCCCATTTTTCCGCATAATTGTTACTCCAACATCATCTCTCACAACGTCACAAGTGGGAGAGAAAGGGAGACGGTGCATTAGTTAATGAGCAGCGTGTACGCAAGTGAGGCGAATGTCGCTGTCGCACAATCTCACCAGACCAGAAAGTGTAATTCGTATTAGCTTGTGAGCTGCATACTCATACTTTTCTTTTTGCATTGCATATTCCTGTTTGGATTATTTTTGAACTGTAGAGTCCATCACCGTTTCTGTCCACCGTTGGACGCAGTCACGTGGATCATCAATGTCGTTGCTGCCGTGGAACGCTTTGGACAGTGTTTACCCCCCTACGCAAAACAAAAAAGCATAATTCGCCTCTTCTGCATCAAGCATTTTCTGCCTTATGCACTAAAAAGGCAGTAATGCACCGGGGTGAAGTAATTGTCTGACGTCTTAATTTTCATCACACAAAAATAAGGTGGAAGCAAGTACTCAAGTCCACCTTCCACTGCATTTTCGTCCTCACCTTTCTCTAACTACTTCCTCGGAAATCAAACTTTCTTCAGCTTGAACGTTACATAAGTGACAGTGCAAATGTTTAGAATAGAGAGTAAATTTTTTGGTTTTTCATGTCTTCCTCCAGGCCTTCTCGCGTCGCCTGCTTTTAACTTGCATTTTCCAAGGAGTTGGACGCGATTAAGGCTCGAGGAAGGGTAGCACCTCCTCGGCTTGCATGATGGTGAGATGAAGCGTTGTGCCAGCGGTTGGCATTATCACCAAACGCGACAAGGGCTATTCGCAAGTATTTTGGGCGGAGGATCCTCCTTTTTTCAAGTGCCCTCTTCATACCCATCTGTAGTAGAAAATGGCAATTATTAAGAAATTTGACCTCGTCTTGCTGTGAGTATATTTGTGTCAGGAGCGGTTAATTTCATACCATTGTACAAAATCAAATGAGAACAGTTTTTTGTACGAAATGAAAGGTCATTGCATTTTTCTAATTCGTCTTCACTTTGACAGTGTAAAAGAACGAGTTCTTTCTTAAGTTCTACGTTTTTAGCTTCCACTGTGAGTTCAAGAACTGCGTGTATTTTTGGGTACGCAACAGGAATTGGACAATGGTGACGGAGGAGAATGGACATTTTCGATACGGGAGTTAAGCCCTATGGACTTTCTTAAATTTGAGATACATCATGGTGCGCGTAGTTAAACTGATCCTATTGGTCAACACAAAATCTCTTAATGAGCAGGCCTTTTAACCGACCTCAGTAGTCACCTGCCACCGTTTCGGGATTATCCTTACTAAGAGCATCTTTGATGTGAAAGTGACGATCTGATAACGTTTCTGTACTCCAAAAAACAATCCTGTTTAACCGGCTACGCACAATGAGACTTCCGACCATAATCCATCAGCAGCCTACGGTCAAAATACTTCCTTCTGCGTATTGACCTCCTATCTCCATGGTATCTGGTATAATCAGAGCTCGCGAAATTACGAGCGCCCTTTCGATCAGCTCATGCTGCAGCTAATAATGACAGCGTTACACTCCACACTGTCGCTTCAGAGGTAGGCGAATTCTGTATTATGCAATATCTGTTGTTGCTTCAGCTGCTGCTGCTTGGAAAACGGTTCAAACCATTATCTCACAACAAAGGCTCTCCCTTCCTAGCAAGAATACCCTGTGACCGATAGTCCAAAATACGGCCAACAGCGTATTGAATAAGCCGCCTCTGCTGCACCATGAGGATTGTTTCCAGTTCAGTAGGACCTTTAGGAACTAGATTGGAGCCTGAGGTTAGGGGACTAATCCTCATCAATATCAATCAAGTTGTGCATTTACTAAGTGACTGAAGGACTTGCTTCAATCCAAACAAAAAACGGCTCGTTAAATTTGGTTTAGAGGAGCAGCATTCCTTTAATTCAAGTAAATATCTTTTGACGTAAAATAAATTAGTCAAAGTGCCTAATTCGTCACCTATTTTAATACATGTCAAGGCAAAACAGGTGGAAGATACGCTTTCATCGACGGTATCGCAGGTGGTACTGAACTCACTGGCGTGAGTTCAGGTAGTTAGCAGATGCTTAGCAGTTGGTACAGATGACAACGAGGGCGTATAATTATTAACTCACCATTTTAAGTAGGTTAACGAGTGTTTAATAAATGCCCCAGAGAGCAGTGAGTAGTGGATGTACGCTATTGGGACTCCCCGTCATCAACGAAGCCAGCATTCACTGCTCCGCCATGGTGCTGGTCGATGGAAAGGAGACACCTTATTAGACTATTCGTTAAACTTCGCTACCTTGATGTTTGGTGATCAGCCAAAACCCAATGTGTTAATGGATGTCTTTTGTTAAATATCCTCATGCAGATCTTCGGTTTGCTGAAGCATTTTGCTAGAGCAGTGAGAAAAAAGCATAGCCTGCATTACATACCATATCAATGTGCACTCAAATGCCACCTCCCGTGATGGCTCGTCATTTAATAATAAAATGGGACTCCGATTCTTTGTTCAACGATTTGACAGAATCAGATTACCCCATGAGCGTTGATCACGGAAAGGAGACCGCCTTGGTGAGCGACACCACATCACAAAGTGACCATAACTTTTGGGCATGCATACAATCTGTCAATCATCTGTACCCTCAGATGGGTCTCTGTCGTGCAAGGATGCTGCTTTAGATTTCACTTGATCCAAGCTTCTGAATGGACAAACGCGTGACCAATCTGCATGAAATATAACACAGATTTCTAGGAATTCTTCAGCGCAGTCATGAAGTTATGATTTTCGGAGTTCGACTACAATGTAAAAGCAGTCTTTAAGGCTCAACACTTCCACTAAGTTGTCGTTTTTCAGCCAATAGCTTTTGAAATGACAACAATGTAGTGAGCTATTTGAATGTTTTCATGACCACCAATTGTGACCTGTCCATAGTGAATTCCCCAGAGGTAAAATTTGCCAAGAACCCATCTTAGGGATTGAGATGAAGACGTCAGCATTGAATTACTCTATTATACAAAATACTTCCTAATAGAATATGGTTGTTTAGGGTTATTATATAAAGTTGGTATCCCACAATTTTTTCTTTACATTGCCTTGAGTTCCATACAGATTACCGAGGAGGAGCGATTTGAAAACTAGCATGCACTTTTTAAGGCACACCTTAGCAAAAAGTTTATTAAAG